AACGTATGTCCCTCTCTCTCTCTCTCTCTCTCCCTTATGCCATCCATCAATCTTCCCATCTCCAACACAATGCTAATCTGGTAACACCAGGCGTCTTCGACACCCGCTACCACAAGTCCCTCCGCGGCATCTCCTTCCTCTTCACCGACCTCCGCTGCGAGCACCACCTCGTCCAGCACTCCATCGCCTCCAAGCCCTGCATCCCGGCCCTCACCCCGGCCGGCTTCGAGGACTGGATGACGCTCATGATCCGCGCCTTTCCCGACCGCGAGGCCCGCCGCCTGGACCTCGTCCTCGCCGACGTGGCCCTCTTTGCCGACGACCGGACCCCTTCTTCCTTCTCCTCTTCCTCACCACGATCTACTACTTCTCAGGGCCCACCGCAGAGACTGCCGAGGGAGCTGCCGCGCGAACTGTTTCCCGAGAGGGGCCACGCGCGGGCGTTTGACCTGCTGGCTTCGTCGTTTGCGGAGTGGAAGAGCATCACGTCCGTCGTCGTCGTCCCCCCCGAAGCAACGACAACATCGTCATCAATCATCCCCCCTTCTTCTTCATCATCAATCCCTTCTTCTTCTTCTTCTTCCTCTTCCTCTTCATCTTCCCACTCGCAGTCCCACCTCCATCTGCACCCCCACGCCGCGTACTCCTCCTCCCTCATCCCGCCCTCCCTCCAAAAGCTCCCTCCCGCAGCGACCAAGGCCCTCAAGGAAGACACCCGGCGGCACAAGGACCCCTGCTACATCGACCAGTCGCGTCTCCGGCCCTCGTCCCTCATCTACCCTTCCTCGTCGTCGCCGTCCTCGCCGTCGTCTTCCTTTTCGACTGGCACTTCTTCCGCGGGGATGATGATGATGCCCTCCTCTGCTGCGCTGGACGGAAAGGCCCCCCCGGAGGCGATTGTCATGTCTTCCGCTGCGTCGTCGTCGTCGTCGTCGTCTTCCTCTTCCAGCTCTGGTTCGTCCTCGGGGTCGTCCAGCTCGAAACATCGCTCCTCAAGGTCTCGCGAGCGGGAGTCCCGTCACAGGAGCAGTGCTTCGGAGAGGTCTTCTCGCCCGAGGGAACCTTCGCCTCCGAGGGAGGGGCGGAGACACCATAAGAGCAGCAGACGGTATAGGGACTCTTGAGTTTTCCCGCATGTGGATGAGTAAGAAGTGGATGATTTCTGCTTTTCATTTCTCTGTTTGTCTTGTTTTTTTCTTCTTCAATTCTTTGGTTTGTATGAAGAAATGATGTTGAAAGCAAAGATGAGATTGATACACAAAGGACAAGAGGCAATGGGGGCCTCGTAATAGTTTCTGTTGACGAGGAGTGTACGAGATTTGAGTCACATTGGGCTTTTTCAGAGGAACAAAAGGACACAAGATTGAAACACACAATAGCATCAGATAGCGATGTCCTTTCACCTGGATAAACTAATCAGCATTTACAAAAACAAACAAAAAAGAAATAAAAAAACAATTTAAAGCTTGAAAACTTCGAGATACAAAGTTCCCCCCTAGTTTTGCGTGATCTGCAAGCTGTTCCAGTTTCAACTTGGGCTTTATCGATCTGTTGCACGTCTTTTCTTCACCAGCGGTGTTATAAGGACAGTAATTACATCTCATTTACTTTGCTATACTCATTTCCAGGTCTGCACCGACAACGTAACAGACAAAGATGTCGAATACAAATAAAATCCAGCATTCTTATGTGAGCAGATCAAGGCGAACGTACAAGAACAGCCCACCAATCCCCAACAAACGAGGAAGACACACCCATGGGATGAAGAAGATAAAAAAGGTAACGAAAAGCTTTCATATTCCGCCCGCAAACACAAACACTTTGTTGATGCGAAGCCCTTGTAATACTTGCGGGAAACCAAAGCAAAAAAAAAGGCACGCACACTAGATACAACCTAAAATAATAATGGTAATGGAAAATGAAAAAGCAAAAAAAAGCAAAAACGTCCTTGGGAATAAACAGCCTTGCGCCCAGTCACTATGCCTGCCCAATTTGTGCGTTCTGTTGTCCATCAGGTCCAAGGATAATCAAAGGCTCACCAATATGGCTCCTCTCACGGGCATGATATGGTGAGCGTTCCCAGACATGATGGACGTAGAAGCGAGTAATAAAAAGAGACTAAAAGAAAATATACACACGACTCACTCTGGAGCGAAGAGTCGCAGAGCGTCGACGTGCTTTGAGTGATGGAAGTAGAAGAAGAAAATGAGAAACGAAGGACGCCATACCACGCGGGATATTGGCGCGAGTGATGACTTTGTTCGTCCGTAAACCACACCCCGTCGACTTCCGTGCTTCGGCAGAGATGCCGCGGAGGAAAAAGAGAAATGCATCAAAGAATGAATCGCAATTCAATCAATCTGGATACTCGCTCGCTCTGCTGAATGCCCGCTCGCTGTGCTTCGGCCGTGGATAAATGCATTGTTGATGCCCAATCGAAAGAGGGGACATTATGCTTTTTGTTGTTTGGTTTGTTTGTTTGTTCGTTTTTTTGGTTTGTGTCAATTTTTCCCTGCACAAAAGAAAAGAAAAAGAGACAGGGGAAATAAATCCATCGGTTGGGGTAGAATTCGATGCGTAAACCAAAGAAAGTAAAGGTCATGGTAGGGCTGGGAAGGGGGGATTAGATCCGTGTCTCGTCAATCGTGGCGTGCTGAACAGCGCCGTCGTCGTTCCAGTCTATCATTCCGTTGCGTCCAAACAAAACACCGTTGCCTTGCGTATCGTCGTAAAATCCTGTTCGGCATGGCTACCGTGATGCAGCCATGCCAGGGCTTGGCTCTTCATGGTCCTGGACGTCATGATCATGCAGTCGTCGGCAGCAGTCACCTCGCGGGCGAAGAGGCGGCTATGGAAGAATCGTAACCGAGGTAGCTAACCATGTTCGATCGCGCAGCACGCTTCTTCTTGATGGCCCTGTAGCCTTCTTTGAAGACGGCAAAGCATCGCTGCAGTTCTCTGTCGGGGTGCGGCGGCAGTTGGATCTCGACTGCTTTGAGGCAGACGCGGAGATGCGTCAGCTCGGTATCGTTTTCCTGAAGTTCCTCTTCCCTGTTTCAGCGTGTAAGCGAACGGATGCAGGGGAGCAGAGAAGAATCCGTGACATTATGAGAAAGATGAAGACGGCCGAAGAAAAAAGAGAGAATGAAAAGAAAAGTCGCCTACAAATAAGTGATGCGGTTCTGGAGGAAAATGATGCGTTGGGCAGCACGCTCAGCTCGTTCCACCAACAACCTATGAATGTGCTGCGTCGTGTCAGCTCTGCTAGTTACGAGAACGCAACGGTGAGGACTTACATCCGATTCTTCCTGGCGGGCTTTGAGATTGGTGACGGTGGTTTGCAGCTCCTCGTTGAGCTTGGCCAGCTCGGAAATGACCCTGTTGGCTTGCGCCGCCGTCATGCCCTGCTTGGGTGGCGGGGGCTCCTCGTCCTCGGACTCGTCGTGGTGCATCATGGAGGCCGAGGGCGTGGGGGACATCTGGTCTGCGAAGCGGTTGCGGAACGAGGACGAGGGCGAGCTGAAGATGGCACTGCCGTCCAGGTCGCTGCCCCTGTTCTTGCGGACGGGCGTCTGGAGGCTCAGTGGGCGCGGCCTGCGCGACAGCGGCGGGCTCCCGTAGATGCTGGTGCTGACGCCGCCGCCGCCCAGGGCCTGCTCGAGCTGGTTGACCTGGCTGTCGAGGGCGACCAGCTCGTCCATGCTGTCGCCGTACGTCAGCTGCTTGGCCAGCAGGCTGAGGCGGCGGGCCAGCTCCAGCTTGCCGGCGCGGATGTCGCCGCCGTCGCGGCTGTGGGTGAGCTCCCTGCGCAGGGGGCTCAGCACGCTGCTGCCCGAGAAGGCGTAGCTGGACGAGCCGACGCTGGGGCTGGACCATGAGCGGCGGCGGCGTCTCGGAGCCGGCGATGCTGTCGTGCCTGGTGGTGCTGCTGGTGGTGCGGGTGCTGGCGCTGGCGCTCGTCTGGCTGCTGACTCTGCGATTGAGGCTGGCGCTGGTGCGGCTGCTGGAGCTGCGGCGGCGCAGCGCCTCGAGCCCCGTGGGCTTGTCCTCGTCGTCCCGGCGGCCCATTGCGATGCTGGCGATGTTGAGTGGCGTGGGTGTTGCGTTTGCTGGTTGGCGGATCGATTGGATCGACTGACTGTCTTTTTGACTACTTGACTGATTGACGGGCTCCTCAGAGGCTGAACCACACCGACTATGCCGTCCCAACAGCGCCCAAATCACGACGCAAAACAAAGATAGAAAATAGGAGGAATCAAGCGATGCAAAATAAAATCACAGAGATCGAAAAGTCGCCGCCGCGGTGTCGTTATCGTTGTTGGTGTCGGTGTCGGTGTCCCAGCCTCGTCGTCGCTCTCTGTGTCGAGCCCCCTCTCTCTGCCGTGGTGTTTCGGTTTTTTTTTTTTTTTCTCTCTCCTCGTTCTTTCGGCTTCCTCAACTGTCGGCGCTCCCCTCGGCACGCGTCACCGGGACGCCAGACGGGCGCAGCAAAAGGCGGGCGTCGAAATCGAGAGTCGCTTCGGGCGTCGATGATGGCTGAGGGGATGAAACGCCCATTGGCGATGCCCAAGAGCTGGCGGGAGTCGGTGGCCGTGGAGCCTCTGCGAGAGCGAGTGCGGGCGTGAGTCTGTGTCTGTGAGTTGTGAGTCTCCCTTATTATTAAGATCGAAGGTGGTGGCAGGATTTGGGGAGAGTTTTGGCGGGCAATTGGCGGGTGCAGGCAATTCGTACAGGCACAGACAGGCACAGGTCCAGCAGCTTACCCGCTTAGCCATCGAGCTTCAGTGGTTGTGGCGGCGGATCAATGCGGCCCCCGTCGCTCCGAGCCTCGAGCTTCAGATCGCAAACGGGGGCCTCTGACAAGTCATCACTCACGTCTCCAGGCTTATTCCTGTTTTTCTACCTAACAACCACAACCACCACACCCTCCTCGCCCGGATTGGATCAACTGGTTCGCAAGCAGAACCGGTTCGCACCGCCACAGACCAGCACGCCATGCACGGACGTGGACACACATAGACAGCCACACGTCGGGCCATGAGAGGCCAGGCGCTTCTAATCGCGCATAGAGAGGGAGGGAGTGCAGTGTGCGGCCATGATGCCTGAACAACGAGAGGTGCTGGACGACGGCGTCGGTCATTGGCAGGCTGCCTCTGCGTCTGCGTCTGCTCTGCGTCTGCTTCCTAAGCGCCTGGTTGGACAGGTAGCGAAGCGTCGGGAGGAGGTCGAGGCAACCATGTGACGTTTGCATGCATCGACAGCGAGGTGCATAAGGTGTGTCTCGTCTTGTCTTTGGTGACGATGTTGAGAGATGCGCGATGAAGAGAAGAGAAACGGGAGAGAAGAAGGCGGAAAAGAAGAAAAAAGAGGGTGCCAGATGCTTCTGATCCGTCCTCCCTCAGGCATCTATCCATCTGCCCGCCACCCGATTTCTTGCCTCTACATACTCTATCTTCTACCAGGTTCCCCTCAGAGGCGTTCCCAACTCGTCTTGCCGCCTAGAGCCAGCTCCCTCGCTATCGTGGCCGTAAACTGTGCACTTTTATCTGTACAGGTAATTCGTCATCGACAGGTACCTTACGGAGTACAGGCAGACAAGCAGGTGAGGCGAGCGTGCATTGGGAATCGGGTCGCTGGCCTGGCCGCGTTACCGCCCCTGACTGGGCGCGGCGAGGCGCTCCTCCAAGCCACCATGCAGCTCACAGTGACCAGCAGCCATTCATCGTCCGAGTGCAAGATGCAATTTACAGGCTCGCAGTGGGTGTAATCGTAGTAGGGAGATACGAAGCACTGCGACTGGGTGGGCGAAGCAGAACCTGAAGGGAGGATATGCTCGTATGTAAGGTATAATGAGTTGGGTCGAAACACCAAGAGACACCACATCTACAACCGAAGTACAGTACGCACATCCGGCAGAGCGTCTACATCAATGCCTCCGCGCTACCGTTACAAACAGTCGATTCCCCTGAATCCGAAAATGGGGTCCCGTCAGCTCCATCTTCAAGTGATGCGGTGCTGCAGCATGTGGCCGCATGAAGGAGAGCCCCTCTCGTCCCCTTATGCCCACAGCAAGCGAAGCCTTTGCAGGCGGAACCAGGCTCGACGGACACACAGCAGACACCGCCCTGGAGAATGACGGTGCAGTAGCTGGAGCGTACTGTCGCATTCTGCGCACAAGCCGGCGGGGGGGCAGCCCCTTGCCTTGCCTTGGCCTACCTTACATACGGACATGGATTGGCTCTCTGCCGGTCAACACCGCTTGTTTGCTGGACTGCGGCAGAGGCGGGAATGGCCGGTGGCTTATGCTGGTGCTGATGTCTAGCCTGCTTGTGCCAACTTACGAGGTGTCATCCGTTGTGGTGCATCGGGCAATGGATGATCCGATGTCCAATGAGATGCGATGGGTAGGTAAAGGGAGAAGTGAAGCCATCATGGGGATGGTTCATGGCATTTGCTTGAAGATTCGGGAAGACAACCGGCATACCAACATGTCGGTGACGAATACTTGAGCAAAGTACTCCGTAGGGCATACCGAGATCCGATATCAACTATGGATCCGATCCCGCTGAACTGGCCACATAGAGATCCATTCCCCTTTTCCATGCCACCTTTCACACGATCATCATATGTGTCCCAGGGAGTCCCTTGAATGTCCTTCTGGTAGATGACCGTCGAGTATACTCGTAGGTACTCGTAAGTACTCGTAGCACTCCCAGCATGCACCTAGGTAGATAAGCATGGATACCGGATCGAAAACGACTTCATTCGACAAGAATCATGCTGGAAAAATCTCCGAGTCCTCAATTCTTACTACATGGCCTACACTGATTCCCTGATGGTGGCTCGAGCTGAGTCAGTGCCGCCAGATCGATGCCAGATGTTATCCTTGCCTACCTACGGATACGGATTCTGATAGAACGTGGTCTGACCAGCCATGCCTGTTCCACTGCCCTCTTTAATCCTCCCTCACATCATGCCATTCCCCTAGTAGGTGATCGTATTCCAAGCTGTTGAAAATCCCAACAACATGGATACAGCAGACATATCCATCAAAGAGTCATCTCAACTCCATCCATGTAATTCTAGCTTAGTAGTACCTTGCGTACGAGCATGGGCGCAGTCGGTACCTGACAGCCAACATGCTGCAAGTGCGGGCTCTCCCGTTCGTCCGTGGCCTGTTTTGGCTGGGACTGGCGGCAGTCGAGTTTGACCGCACTGTGAGGGCGATCCCTCAGACCGAATGGGTGGAAAGAACATGTTTGCAGGTGATGATGAGCTGAATAGAATCAGGTATTATTGTTGCCTGTCATACTGAGTAGGTACATGTATACAGGAATGCCCTTGAACGAAGCGACATGAATGGTCGACCATCTTGATGTTTTTTTCATTGTTGCAGCAGTTCTGTCCACGTGTGTTACATGTGATTGTGCCAAAGTGCCGATCAACTGTGCTCAAGAAGAGGGGCAACGCAGCAGAAAGGAGAAGAACCCCAGAAGCCCGTCCAGCACCGCTGTATTGGCTGATGGCGTGTGGGTTGTGGATTGTGGCTCTAGCCATGATGCGACGAGTGGCATTGAAGCGCCTGAGCCATCCTGGCGGTCCGTCCTGTCCAGGTTCAGCTCAGCCCAAGCACACATGAGCATCAACTCTCTCAACGTGCTGTTCATCTACTCCCGTCGTGTTACTGCAAGGTATTGAACCGCCTAGACCGCCGGCAAAGGCCCCCCTAAGGGCACATCAACCCCCCATGCCCAGCGCACCAAGTCCCCTAAAAGCACCTCAACTGCAGTTCCATCCACTGAGATGGAGAGTGGGGGGCCACCGCCGGGACCCCGACAGCCGCCGGGTTCATGGACTGGCTGAGGTGCAGCCTCTCGGTTCACGCGACTCGGGGCACGGCATGACCACGACGTCACCTCTGGACAGCCGCCAGCCTCGCTTCCCCCTCCCCTGAAGACGCTTTGGATGGACAATCGTACATAGTAGCTTAGTTGGAAAAGTAAATGAGCAGAAAACAGACATGGAGGAAACACATAGTATATAATAGGACTTATATAGACCAAGCCCCACGTGCTTCCTCCGTCGTGTCCCCGTCCAGTGAGTTTGTCTCCGGTCGTCAACGGTCTCTCTCCCGCACATCCTCGGCAAACCTCCTCCTCCATCCCCAGCTTATTTAACCTTAGTAGCTTCCGCGGGGCCGCAATCGCTCGCCACAGCTTGAGTCAGACGAGCCGTAACCATCCATAACCGCCGATTTCTGATTCCACCACCTTCAGCACTGGACCTGCATCCCTACAATAACCATACCCGTACCCAGACGAAAAGCACATTGAAGCCTGTCTTGCGCAGATTGTCCAATTTCTCACTTCTCCGGCTCTCATCTGTTCGTTTGCAGCTTACATGTGCCGATGACGAGGCTGCTCTAAGCACCGGCAGCTCTCAGCCTCTCGGCCCGCCATTCGAGCCCCTCAGCTTATCCGATACTTCGCACATACATACCGATCCTCCCTTGCGCCCTCCACCAACTGTCCGCAGCACCTGCAACCTACCGTCGCTGTCCAAGACATCCGGTCGCTTCGTCCTCTCGCGTGTCTTCCCCCCCGCCATTGACCGCCGCGGCATTGCGCAAAGCTCGCATCGCCCTCCCACCGACACACCCCTCCAGCCCTTCCGCCTCTTCTCCGGGGACGAGCGCCCATCATGTCATGGCGGGCGTCTCCGACCCTGATGGACACCATCCGGCACTACGCCAAGTTCCCTGCGACTGGCGTCAGTCTGCGCCAGATGGTCCAGTTTGGCGATAAGCCGTCCACAGGTGCGTTGGCTCTGTCCGACCGAGGATCGAATTGGGTTGATGGCAGGTGGTCCAGGAACAACAAGTGACAGTTCCCCGTGCTGACAATGGCGATGGCCTCTGGCCTTGCAGGAACCCTCTTCCGCGCCTCGCAATTCCTCGCCGAGGAGCTGCCCATCCGCCTGGCGCATCGCGTCGAGGAGCTCGAGACGCTGCCCGACGGGCTCAACGAGATGCCGTCTGTAAAAAAGGTCAAGGATTGGTACGCGCAGTCCTTTGAGGTACGTCGGCGACAAACTGGTGACCAAGACGACAAGACCAAACGAACACCCCCCCGCGTCTAACTTGGCTTCGCACCGCAGGAAATCACACAGCTGCCCCGGCCACGCCTGGCCAAGGACGTCAAGGAGCGCCTGATGAAGCCGGCCAAGTATGGCAGCCGCGGCAGCTACGCGCAGCTCTCCGAGGCGACGCCGAACCCGTCCATCGACGAGGGCGAGGCCTCGGGCTGGGGCGGCCTGCACGTCCAGGCCCAGGGCCACGGCAACGGCGGCAACGGCAACGGCCACGGCAAGGCGCGCTCCGTCGCGCGGCGGTACTTTGCGACCGTCGACGACACGGGCGACTGGCCGCCCGAGCTGCAGCTCTACAACCAAAAGTTCGCGCAGACGCTGCACAAGATCAAGCGGCGGCACGACAGCGTCGTCACCACCATGGCCCAGGGCATCCTCGAGTACAAGCGCCGCCGCCAGCGCATGCAGATCGACTCCAACATCCAGTCCTTCCTCGACCGCTTCTACATGTCGCGCATCGGCATCCGCATGCTCATCGGCCAGCACATTGCCCTTACCGACCAGAGCCACCACCGCGACCCCACCTACGTCGGCGTCATCTGCACAAAGACAAACGTCAAGGAGTTGGCCCAGGAGGCCATCGAGAACGCCCGCTTCGTCTGCGAGGACCACTACGGCCTGTTCGAGGCCCCGCGCATCCAGCTCGTCTGCAACCCCAACCTCACCTTCATGTACGTCCCCGGCCACCTCTCGCACATGCTCTTCGAGACGCTCAAGAACTCCCTGCGCGCCGTCGTCGAGACCCATGGCATGGACAAGCAGGAGTTCCCCGTCACAAAGGTCATCGTCGCCGAGGGCAAGGAGGACATTACCATCAAGATCTCCGACGAGGGCGGCGGCATCCCGCGGAGCGCCATCCCCCTCGTCTGGACCTACATGTACACCACCGTCGACCGGACGCCCAACCTCGACCCGGACTTTGACAAGAGCGACTTCAAGGCGCCCATGGCCGGATTCGGGTACGGGCTGCCCATTTCACGGCTGTACGCCCGGTACTTTGGTGGCGACTTGAAGCTCATTAGCATGGAGGGGTAAGTTTCCTTTCCCCCGTATATCCCTTCTCTCCTCTGCAGCAGCAGTATCCCTCTCGCGAATACTACCAAGACACCAATTTGCCCACCACCATCACCCTCATTCCCCCCTCAATCTCATGATACTAACACTCGAGTGCTCCATATAGATACGGCACCGACGTCTACCTCCACCTCAACCGCCTCTCCTCCTCCTCCGAACCCCTCCAATAGCAATTAAGCACCGCCCACGCAAGAAACTCCCCGTCCACCTCGTCGTCGCCCTCTTCGCCCTCCTCGCCTACAAAGTCCCTCCTCGCCATCCGCAGCAGGCTCAAGGACCCCGCCCGGCGAGAGGTCACCGAGCGCCGACAGGTCGGGGACGCGGAGGCGGTGGTGAATGCGCCCCCGAACAGCAGGTTCCTCCACGAGGACGACAAGCAGCTGTGACAAAGCGCAAGAAGTAAAAAAAACAAAACAAAAGAAAAGGGGAAAACAAAATGATAAATGAAAGAAAAACTGATGGGCACCAGAAAACAGTCAGAAAGGGTGGGGGGGGGGGAGGATAATGGCGGCCCATGGCCTTACAAGCCATGGTAGAAAACTACGAGGACTCAGCAGGAAAAGCTACCATACACACAAAGTTACAACATATCGTCTCGAAAGGGAGAGATAACATATCTCATTAAAAACATTCAGGCTATTGGATACGAACAGGACAACATCAAACCAGATATTGGACATTTATCCCTCTTATACCTCGCCCAACAGGCTCTTTATGGATTGAGCAGTCACGGAAAGGTCAGGATATCTCAGTGGCTAGGGAAGCACTGGAGGAAGCAAAAATGGAATGCATGGAGTGTGTTCAGATGCACAAATGTATAGTACGATCATGTGTCTGCAGCAGCACTGGATGGGCGGCATTGGATACCAGCATGTGGAAAGGAAACCAAATGTACATCATCCACATCATTGTTAGACTAAATCTCAAAATCATGTTCCATGCTGCAAATCCGCCTGTGCCGTGTCCCTCATGCCTTGATATAACCCGAAACTGAACGAAGAAGGGGGGGGGGGGGGGCAAGAAAAGAAACCCGAAAGCGCCCAAGGGGGCATACAACGCAAAGGGCCATACCGTCATCCCAAACGGCCATCCCCAGAAACTCAAGTTTGCAGTCAATAAAGGTCATCATCGTCGTCATCCGGCTCGCAGCAAACGTTCGGGACCTGCGGCACCGGGCGATGCCTCACAGGACCCGGATCCCGGGCCGCAACGTGGTGGTTCGTACCGACTTGACGCAACTCCGTCTGGGACATGCGTACCTGTAACGAAGTCAGCTCCCATATCGGCAACAGGTCGGATATGACCTACATGGTTTGGCCACTTGCTCCTGGCCAGTGTCTCTGGGTTGTGCGAGCTTAGACTTGCACCGCCAGCTTCACTCTCCGTCGCCTCCGAGGTCGCTGCAGCCGAGCTTTCCGTGGCTGTCTTGACAGCTCGATACGCTACTCCTGCCGGATCCCAAGCGTTGAACGAAATGCGGCGCACTTTGGCTCTGGCCTCCCTTGTTGTGGTGGCCGTCGAGATGCTGCCCGTGTCTCCAAATTCGCTGCCGATGGCGCAGTCGGAAGAAGCGTCTGGCACGAGGGCTTGCTGCCCAAAGGGGCGAAGGTGAGGAGGCAGTTGCTGCACAAACGACGACCTGCCGCTCGCCCCAACATGCGGCTGGTCGGTCGACGGCGTCAGAGACTTCTTCGAGCTGGCCAGGGAGCCTCTCAAATGCGGCGGGAGAGGGCGGCTCGACGATGCCTCCGAGGCAGCGTGTTCCGAAGGAGCGCCAGACTGAGACCGTGAATCAAGAAGGGAAGCCACGTCGTTTTCATCCAAGCCAAGCGACGACAGTCCCGTAACAGGAGCCTAACGTGTTGTGAGTAATTGGCCTTTTGTCATCAAGTACAACCTTACCTGGGGGTACACATCGTCGGAAAAGAAATCGGTGTCGTCGACAAATTGGGCGGGCCACATCTCTCCACGCTCCTCTTCGATGGAAATGTGGCCAGTCTCTAGAGGCGCAGGAATGACTTCTGGTTCCTGAGTTTCCATCCAGGCGGTGCATCTCTTGCAGTGCTTGAAAAGATCAGCCACGTTGTGTTCAACATCCAAGAGGCGGGGAGGCATACAGGACTCTTGTTCCTCTTGCTGGAGCTGCTGAACTCATCCAGGGGCTTGACAAGTCCACACAGCTCACAAGTCATTTCCGTGCGTTGACCAGAGGAGTGCTCTCGGCAGGTCATGCCCGAGTTGGCTGCATCGATGCGATAGCGGCCGGCCAGGTTGGTCTGGATGAATCTTTGCTGGTTCTTGGAGAACTCATCGATGGACTTCCATTCTCCGCCTACCTTGCATCGAAATCTATGGGCTGTGTGAGCAATGTGATATCACGAGCACAGAGGGTCCTTCGTCGTACCTCGTTGGGATGGTTGCCTTGGTCGCCCTGGAAGCAGTCAGTCAAAATCTGCACTTTTGGCATGGAGGAGTACGGGAGGTGACATGAGGCTTCGGGTGTAACTCAAACACGAGAGCAATGCAGTGAAATGGAAGGCAGAGCTTACAAGTTGAAAGTGCCGTTTGCTTTCTTGCTGGCCATGGCTGGAGCGTCTCTTGATCCGCGCGATCAAGGCAAGCAAATGAGGAGCCGTGCGATATTGCTTGCAATGATCTTGTAGGAAGAAAAAGGATGCAAGGCTGAGGTGAAGGAGGAGGAGGAAGAAGTGAAAGTGCAAAAAGAGAAGGAGAGAAGGATAAAGGGCCTTGTCCGCTCTGCTCTGAATCACGGCAGGAGCACGGCGGTCGAGGCTGCCGTTTATGTTGCTTCTCACAATGTTTGCCTTGTGGCAGCCAAGGCGCCAATATCAGGCATCAAGATTCGCAAAGCAGATGCTTCAAAAGCTGCTCGATAGCGGCGCTGCTATTGTTCTCTTGTGCAGCTGCAGGCAGCCGAAGGGAGGAGGCCTAACAAAGAGCCTCTATGCCAGTATGTGCGATTACAGATGCGCACTTGACGAGTTTGGCAGCGTGTCAACTTCATCTGAGGTGGCACCAGGATACTGGTGAACGCAGGACAGCAGGTAGGAGAGTCGTTTTGTTGTTTCTATGCTCGAGTGAATGCACATAGGATTTGCATCCGACTCTGGGCAAGTTGTATTCACTGGGAGCAAAGGTGGTCACGCTACAGACAAGAGGAGAGCTGACAGTTTGTGGCTTTCTCGTCCGGATTGTGAAAGCTTTCACTATCTAGGATGCCAGATGTCTGGGGGTTCATCGACGTCTGTATCGTGATGTTGCTTCTTTCATGGTTGCATCTTTCCGTTGAGAGAAGACCACACTCTGGGATTGATAATCCCATCATACATGATGCTAGTAACAGGCAAGACTACGGTTGAATTCACAATCCCGACAAAATATCAGACTCGACTCAGAATTTCCTGGAATTTGTCTACTCGACTTTACGAAGAACGGAGTCCACATTTGATGTTCCCCATGGGAACGTCTAGTAGCTGGAGTTGCGATTGTTGGTCAACTACCCTGCATTGATGGAGAGTTTCGAGGACATCTCCGGAGCCGCTTCCGACTTGCTTTGTTCATGCGACAATCAAAACACCAACTTCTTTATGCAAGCATTCCCACCATTATGCCATCAGCACCATTCCAATAGGACTCTTTACATTGAAGCTCTTTCATTCAGCGAGCACTGCTGCTGTTCGCGTGAAGTGACGATAGTAGTCAACGAGAACCTCTAAATGCTATTAGAAGGTTGAACGATGTCGGGAGCCCGAAATCACAACCACCCTACAACTCAAGATAACGTTAATTTAACAGTTATTAGCCTGCTTTTAAACGGCCCATCACCCGCATACCGAAATGAACAACACGTGCGCCGTGCGCGCAAGCAACCTCGACTATTGAGAGAGTAGAATCATTTATAGATATGGCCTGGGTCCGCCAAGCCGGGATTCCCATCATCCATCTAAACTGCAGGCGAGATGAGACTTGGCCATCTGTCACGCTACGTCGAAAAGCGCTCGCCAATGTCAACAGCAACGAATTAGCCTCGAATTAAACAGCTGAGCAGGCGAAACGAGACAATTCCACTGCCTTGTTTCGCAACGCTCGACACTCAGGCCACAACCACCAGATTTTGCAGCAATGAACTCCTGGGATTGGACAGGGGGGGGCTAAAAGCTGGCAACATGTTGTTTGATATTGGGGCCCCATGTCCTCTACATGTACTTTTCGACTACAAGGACATCAGAATCCTAGGTCTCAATTGAAAGACAAGGCCACTCCCACTGAAAACATGTTTCCCGGGTCTTTCAATTCCCGGGAGTGTGTATCGACTTGATTATCGTGCTGACATTGATCCAAGGATGAGCGTTAATAATGATTGGGCTACGGGAGGCAAATGGCGAACTTGGGAGATCAACGCAGAGCAGCGCCCGGCATGCCGTGAAACGGGCAATGCCGTTGCAATGACTCGATCATCAGCTCCCCTTTGCTCTGTCAAAGGGCTGCTACAACTCTATGCTGAGATACTTGATGTGCTTCTTACATATGGTCTTATCAATAGTCCCGATCTCATCACCTCTTAGAATAGACCATGTAGACAAAGAAAGGGGAACGGACAAGTCCCAGCCTTGCTATACATACTACTACTAGGTACCTAGTACTACTCTTCCATCCACGTCTCCCAGCCTTCAAAGCACCTGATCTCCACTCCACCAACACGACATTGAAAAAAAAAAAAAAAAAAGGGAAACAGAAGATATCGCCACCGTCTCAGGCACCGAAGGCTGGGACGGAGTCATTGTTCCCTCACAGCTGAAAAGCATTGGCATCGACGCCACAGCGGGAGGCACTCAGGTACGGTGTCGGTGTGTCATACCAGACAATGTACCAAACTTTCAAGCCTACAGCTATTCCTGGGTTCCAGCTACTTCGAGGCCCTTCTAGGTAGCACGTCAAGCCGCTCTGTGTTACGAAAGTAGCCTCTGGACGCTCCCCAGGCCGATGACATGCAGCTCAGACATGCGGGCGGCACGATTCCCCGGGTCTCCCGCACGGATCAGCTCTCATTCTCTCTCTCTCTCGTGCAATTCTCTCTTTATTTCTTCCTTGTAAGAGAGATTTGCCATGCCACCAGGGTGCTTGACATACAAAAGGCATGACTGTCAGGGGTTTGCCGTCCCGCGGTCAAATGCTGCTAGTGGGTGGAAAAGAAAGACATCGGGAGTCGCAGCCGCTGCAGCCCAGATGCAGGGGAGAGGAGAAGGCACAGGCCCTGGCAGCAAGACCCAATACCGGCCATGCGGAACTACTGGCACAGGTTGGGGGAAGGGGGGGCTGCTGCTTTGGCAGCTGGAGTTGAGGATCTCAGAGTGCTGGATTTCCCATCCCATCGTAGGTGACTCTCACACACTTCTACGAGTTGCTGTGAACAAAGTTGCATCAGTAGTGGCGAGCTTAATGCTCTCTTCTCCCTCCCTTGACTAAGGGAATTCGAACATCATCAAGTTGCAACGTCACCAAAAAGGAACCGAGTACACCGAATCACCAACGGAGCCTTCTTCTCGAACAGGCAGTCCGGCCCTGGCCGACAGACGAGAAAATGGCAACCCGGAATTTCTGCCCACATCAATCCAGGCACAACTCAACCCGGACTGTGGTACTTACAAGTTACCAATTACCAAGCACCCGCTCCTCTCGCTCATTTTCTTTTATGTCTCTCGTCAGCCCCATGAAAGGCGCAAAAAGTGTGAGACACGGCCGGTGGTTTGGCGCCGCGACTGCTTGGTCTTGGTAGCTGGCGCGGCAAACTGGACGCCTGCCCGGCTTTGTTGATGTGACACGAATCTTCTGTGTCTATTTTCTGTCTTTCCACGTAAGGTAATAGCCGCCACCAAGGCACCCTTTTTGTCTGTTTGTCCAGTCGTAGACGTGTGACGAGACCGATTCCAGGCTTTCCGGTCAGGCTTTCATGCGAGGCTGCAGACAATCCCAAGCCGTCCTCTGTAAGTACACCTCCAAGGTTACTTCTCACACAAGTAAGGTACATGCGAACCTGCAGTAGGCGCTCATCAAAGGCAGAGACAGAGAAGTCTTGACGGCCCCCAATCCCAGGTACATGTACCTACCAGATCTTCTCACCCCCATCAAGTCCTGCAACAAATCGGCGCTGCTGCTGCCAGGCAGTAATAAATGGAAAAAGGGGATAATACTCACAGACACACACTCACGCGAGGGAGCAGGAGGCGAAAAGTCAAAAAGCAGGATCCCCGCCGAGCGTACGGAGTAGTATGACATGACCTGTCAAGGCATGCTTCCGCGTCGCGGCAGCGAGCCGTCACGACCCGGAGGGCTGGAAGAGACCGCCCACCCAAAGCCAGAGCCAAGCTTGTAGCTGTTGACAGTTTCTCTGCCCATCCTTGCCAGTTGTGGACTGTTTGGTCATCGCAGTAGGGCGCAGCTGTAAAATGATGCATGGGAGTTGTCTTGTTTTGGTGAAGCTTGACTTACGGCTGGATCAAGTGTATTGCTCTGTTCGGTTTTGAAGCTGCCTGGAGCTTCCAAAGAGCTAAGCAAGATTGCCTCTGGAGATACTGCGAGTGCTTTATTACTCCAGTCTGTACAGCTCAGCATGGCAAGGCGAGGCCGTGATGAACCGCGCCGCTGGAAATAAACAAGGAGCTTCGTTGGGGCCGATCAAATGACCTCCAATCTCGCTCCCGCCCAAGCGGCCATCAGAAGTACCGGCCGGATCGCCAAAGCAGAGAAGAGCTGCGCACCGAATTCGCCTGGTGCGAAAGTTCACACCAAACCGCCCGACAAGGTGACCAGAATCCGCACAGCACAGATGGTGAGAAGATACTTTGGCAGAGACTTCGTACGGAGTCATGGCAGGTATCTCCGTACTTTGGCACTTGCGCTGGAATTGAAACATGGCAGGACTTCCTAATGAGATCGTCTATACCCAAAGGGGGCTAGAGAGGCTTGAAGTTGCTGCTCTTTGTGGTTTAGCGACGGCGGGGGCCCCTCTCGCGTTTGAGCAGCGTCGCGTGTGAGTGCCTTCGCTTATGCAGCTGGTGGGAAGAGATGGATTTTGATGCTCTGTGAAATGAAGAGGCTGCTGTATCACACGTGCGAAGAAAGGCAAGGTACCAGCATCGCCGTGAAGTCGACTTGATCGCAGACTCGGTCTGTAGCAACCAGCAGAGTACCATTTGCGCGGCTGTTTGTAAAAGCACAAGCACATGTCCAGCGACTCCATGAGCAACGTGAACTTGACGAACTGATGAGTGGCCGCGGGCCCCGGCATTTTACTGGCTCGTGGATCCTAGAGAGAACCCCCCGGCAACGGGCACAATAATGACGAATAGGAGCACGGCAGCATGTGCCCCGGGAGCGCTGGCTGCGTCCGACTGTTGCTGTGCTGGCACCAGGACGGTCGCCCTGTCCGGGCCCTCTTCTGCACCCTCTCGAGTGGGTGTAGGAACACATGGTCACCGTGTACTTGTATGTAAAGGCGTGGTGCGGATGTACTCGGGGAGGCGATTCGGATGTAGATGCGACTCGTTCAGTTCACGGCTGTTG